AAAAACAACGGAAGTTCAAAATGAAACATGTTTCAACTGACAAGTTCATTAAACATGTTCACCTATGAACCTAGTCAAATTAGTAGCCTTACAGGTTGGCTCAAGAGACAACAACTCAAGGCACAGCAAGAGTTCCTCTTAGTCACTTGACACAATCACAAAAAACTTGGCGTCTGGTTTTTCTGTTTGATGATTGTGGGCAATCCATTTCTGACCTGGAAGTTGAAACGTGTAGTGAAAGCAGCAGTGATGATAATGCAGTGGTCATGCCAGTCAAACCTTTGCGTGCAGTTATTTTCCCGACAGGCATGGTATTTTGGCAGCACGCAAAGTTGAAGACTTGTCATTTGGCCTACCAGGAACACTTCAAGGTCTTTTTGTGTGGGCGAAAGAATTCAGACATATTCAACATGCGAAAGTCGGAACCTAGGTTTGACATTGCAAAGTGCAAGCAATGTTTCAAGAGCATTCTGGCTAAGTCAAATTGAACTTTTCACCTGACAGCGTTGGATAGCAAGACCGGCCAAAAAGATCAGCTGAGTGCGGAACATCGTTAGGTGACGGGGTAGGGCGCACTGCTGGTACATGTGTCATGTTCGGATGGTGTTTGCACAGCTTTAATTCGTTTGATTTTCCTAGAGTGTTGTCAAGAAGACTGCAACTTTCAGAGTAAGTTTTCTTGGAGCCACTTGGGATCTGAGCTGTCCAGCGCTGAGTGAACGCCAACAAGAACTTTGTTTGCATTTTGTTTTCCAGTGCAGAATCATTTACATCATACGCTGTTCATTTGCACATGTCTCTGTAGGTCTGATAGGTAAATCGGGCGTTGCTTGATTAAACGGAGCCATGACACTTTTTGATTCTGAAGGTGCTTGAAATTTGCATTGTGATAAGATCGATTCATCAGGATGGCTGAAATGTGTTTTGAGAGGCAACGATCTAAAGACCTTTTCAGGTTTGGGGTTTGCGGTTAGTACGCCGCAGAACCCTCGGAGTGCAGCTAACTTCGAG